AGAGAGAGAGAGAGAGAGAGAGAGAGAGAGAGAGAGAGAGAGAGAGAGACTGAAGAGGGACTCGTGCGCCAACAACGGGCAATTGCACATATGTAAAGGAAAGGACAAAGGACGACCGCTGTGACAAAGAGGAGGGCAAATACATCTGTGAAGAATAGTTGCCAGTGGTTGGGAAAGACAAGAAATGTAGAAGATAGAGTGCAGACATGCTGGTTTAGAGCAACTGGAGATCAGAGAGGTGGACGATGCTGGGGAGACGAGACGGGAGAAGATCGAACGCAAAAGGGAAGAGGGTGAAAGCAGAGAAATGGGAGAAACAGCTGAAGGAGGCAAACAGCATAAAGGTAGCAGAAACAACAAAAACGAACATGGTCACCGGTGGGAAAGAAGATCTTCAGCCATGAACGGACACCAAAGGGGAAGCAAGGATGAAGAAATTAAGAACAAGGGACAAGGTGGGATCAAGGGGGGACAGTAGATGGTCAGGCAACGTTGACATTTTACAAACCAGAGTTGGCACCCGGCGTGGGAGGTAGAAGGTGTCCACTCAAGAAATGAATCCAAAGAGGACTCTGCCGAGCCAAGGACAACCCAATGTTCGACTGACAACCAGACAGAAAGGGTGAGATTGGCACTTTATGGAGAAGAATCACATAGACACTGAACCACGTTAACAAAACAGGGATTGAGAAACAGTCCCAACTGTACACTAAGGAAGGTGAGTTCCTGCAATGATACCCATCAATACATTGAGACTCGAGAGCATAAGACAATCAGATTGGCTGAGGTGCACAAGCTGGCTAGAATAGGCACACACTACAAGGAAGCTTGCTTCATTGACCTATGATTAGCCCAGAAGAAGGAAGCCTTACCTGGTCAGTTTGAAGGGCAACAACATTGGCAGCGGATAATGCGTCGACTGGCAATGCCCTCAACTCAAACGTTGGCTCCTGCAACTTTTCAATTCTTCTGTTCAGAACAATTGGTTTGACAGAGCTGTCCAGCGCATGCCACATCACATCAGAGAGACTGACGAGACCAGCTTTGCTCGGCACACCACCATCGTTTCCTGTACGCCCATCATCATCTGAATTCCGCTTCACAGTTCCATTTGCATTCCCTGCACCAGAAACTCTTCTTTCTCGATCATCTGCGGCCACCCCTGCCCCTCTCGGAGCTTTCCGACCCACACCGGCACCTGAGACTCCAGCACTGGCATCAGGACGTGATGCACCAGACTTGAATGGATCCGTACTCTCGTCACTCTTTCCGTCTTCCCCCACAACTCTTGCTGAATCACCATTTTCTCGTTCTGCAGAGCCACCAGAGTCTCCTGTTCCTCTCCTTTCCCGCGGTGACAGGGTGCCACCACTGTCCTCCCTTGCCAGCTGGCCTGGCGTGCCTGCCCCTGTCGAGCCACTCTCCTCCTCTTCCTCCTCGCAAGCTTCCTCCTCAGCAGCTTCTGCAAAGTCCAGTTCCACATCATTGTTGGCCAGTGTAACATCATGATCACCTGATCCACGGACACCACCTTGCCGATATGCTTCCCCTTCAGCTTCTCTCCTCATGTTGCTCCTCACAATTTTCGATAGACGAAGCACTGTCACTCCAGCTGCTGAATTGGGTTGGCCGCCAGCACCTCCATGAGCACGCACAGATGCATTTGTTCCGCTATCTGTCTTCTCTGCCATTGCCTGTCGATCACCAACCGTTCCCTTGCCAGCACTGCCAGGATCGCGAGCTCCCATGCTGTTCTCGTCCCCATACTGCCCATCCCGTAAGCCTAAGTCCAGTCCATCTGCACCAACCTTGGCCATAATGCTTGCCCGCACACAACCAACCCCACCATCTTCTCTTCTTCCTCTCTGACGCAGGAAATTCTCCAGTGCAGGCTGCAATGGCAAAGGAAGAATCTTATATTTTGTTCTCCAGAATGGATGATCTCTGAGTTCATCCCAACCCATTCGTTCACATGGATCTTTCATCAGCAGTCGCATAACGAGGTCCTCGAAATCTCGGTGCGGCTTTCCCGGCAACTGAGGGGGCGGTTCTGTCAGGACAGCCTTCACCAACTGCGCAAAGCTGCTTGAAACAAACGGCGGCCGCCCAGCTGCACATTCGTACATAACACACCCTAACGCCCACAAGTCTGACATGAACGAGTGTACCCCTCCCTCCTGAAACAGTTCTGGGGCCATGTAGCATGGTGTTCCTCTCTTGGCTTGAGGCAACTGCAAAAAGCAAAGAAAGTGAAGCGCTAAATCTGTCTCTTATACACATCTAGATGTGTATAAGAGACAGTGACACGGCAAGGCAGGCATGATAGGTAGAGGTG